TTTATTTCATTTTCAGACTGAGACTCACACATACACACACACACACACTTGAAATAAATCAAGACAGGAATAAAATGAAGTTTGAAACTTTCAAGTAGCTAAAATTTGAGAACTATGACGCCACACATTGAAGTTAGTTCTCAGCTGTATCATAAAATGAGCACATATTAGGGCGGAGGTAAAATAAGCACAATATTGGAAAAATGAAAAAGAAAAAAAGACCGTCGTTGATTTGACCAACCACTGTGAAAAATATAGAAATATGACGTTTCTGGCAATTCAATGACGAACCTACAATTTTGTTTGAAACCCATAAACTTAACCCGCATGTATTATGGATACAGTACTCAATGTTCTAGAAGTTTTAAACTTTAGTGAAGCCTTACCAAGAATATATTGTTTACTTTTGAAAAATATTCTCTAGTATGAATTTTTATTCGCTCACCTACAAGTGTTTGAAGATGTTGTCGCTCACCTATAAGCGTGTGAATTGTTTCACACACCTGCAGGTGGTGACATTCGTACACTTGGATTTCCAGTGTATATATTCTTCACATGAAACGCGGGAATGCTGCACACTTGTAGGTTTGCGAATATCCATAGAAAACGTCAAATGCGTGAAGGCTTGCTGCTGAGGGGTCCCCCGCTCTCGCCAGACCTCTGGAAGTCCTGAAAAGTTTCCGGACTTTTGAAGTTTTCTGTTACTTTCCGGATATTTTCGGAAATTTTCCGTAAATTTCTAACCCTAGGCCTAGTGGTGCGGCTGTCAAACATCCCTCGCGTCTCTTTTAGTGGGAGCCCAACATAGGAGGGGGGGGCACCCCCCCGGAGGAAGGCGAGCCGCCGCCCCCCGCCGTCGTCGAGGTCGTCGCCAAGGCCAACGCCGCCAAGGTGGTTGCGGCCGTACGCCAGGTGAGTGCCCGCACGGAAAAAACAATGTCTGTGTTTTTTGCGGTTTTTGTTTGGGGGGGAGGGGGGACTTTGAGGAACTCAAGGGGAGCCTCGAGGGGAGCCCAACTCGTGTATTTCTGTGTCCACTTCGCCATCTCTTGTATTATTTTTGTCTATTTTTCACGTCCCTATGTGTATTTGTCTCCATTTTAGAGAATTATTTTGTATTTGTCTCTGTATTTTTTGCGAGATTTTTTGTATATTTCTGTGTGTACACATTTTTTTGAGTTGGACCCTCTCGGAGGAACTAACATGTATGAGAAAAACTCCGGAGATCTCGCCTCAGATTTCAAGGGGACCTTCTCGAAAAATGAGGTAAAATCACACATTTGAAGAGCCTCCCTCAAACCAAATAAATTTCCTCGAAGTTTTACCTTTTCCTCGAAAAACCAGACATTGTTTTTATTGTGCGATTCAACATCTCCCACCGGCACAACGGAAGTCATGGCGGGCATTCTCGAAATATGATAATGAGGTAGAGGTGAAGCAGTCACAAAGTATCTCCGCCATAAGCCCCTCCCCTCCCCCCCTTCCTACAAGCGCCACTGGCGTGTCGAACGA